TTGCTGTGGTTAGCACTTCCTCCCCCTCCGTGTTTCTGATTCCCTCTTCATTTATGACCCGACTGATAAGATGACGGACCCTGAACTAGTTCTGGCCAGAATATAGAAACACTTTATTGTTGCTGCTTCCAGGTTTGGATCAGTTTGTGCAAAAATAAGCTGCATTTAGACCAAACCAGATGCTGGCGATGAGATTCAGCTGATTAAATGATGTTCAGTGTGAGCACTGCTGTAAACTCATGTGGCGTTTTGCTGCAGCAGTGAGCTGAGAGAAGCATCCAAAAGAGGACTGGACATCCCCGAAGATTCAGCTCAGCGTCAGAGTGTGAAGTTCAGGGAAACGTCTCTACAGGCCTCCTCTGAACACCAAAGTTTTATTCACTTTGAGTCTCTGTGCTTCGGCTGAAGCTTGCAGCATCAGCAGGACGACGCAGGAAGAGACGTAACTACAGCAAGAACCAAACGAATCCTTCAGGTTCACAGAAACACACATAAATAAACCTGCTAGTGCCTCAGATTTACAGCCGTTCATGAAACACAACACAAAACTCAAGCCTGGGATTTTCTTTGTAAAGCTACCAGAAATCTGTGACGTGTCGGGCGCTGGGTGGATCAGTGGGTATCGTGCAGCGTGTGAGAGGCTGTGGTCGCGGGTTTGATTCCTGACCCAGTCGCTGCATGTCTTCCTTCTCTCTCCTCCCCATTTCCTGTCTTTACTGTTCAATGAATGCCATTAGAGCCTCAATAAATGTTCAAATGTATGTGATTAATTAATCCAAATTAATGCGCTAGAGTACTGGCCCTATTATATTATAAGCAGCCATAATGAGAATATTGATATTGACCCAGATGTTCATATCAGTCTGTCCATAAATATAATCATTTCCAGCCAATGTTTGGAGAAAGAAGCTTATTGATCTTTCAGCTTCAAGCATCAGATCCTGGTAAATCAGGCTGGTGAATAAACTTCCAGCTCCGACTTCATGTTACATATAATCACTGCTTTGGTCCTCCAGTTCTCTTGACTCTTCCCTGGATGTTTGGGCTGCTCATGTGCAGACAGCATTAAATATTCATCCTCCTGCTTCTCCTCTCATTTCTCCTTCTTCCCTTTGACTTTCTCCTTCCTCTCTATTGAATGTTCTTTCATCTCACTTCTTAGCAGTTTAATCTTTCAGAAGAAGTCAGGAAATTTGGGGATAGAAGTGGTGAGGACTCAGTAGTTTGACTGAACTTCTCTCCATCGATCGTCTGATGGATATTGTCTTTCTCGTGTGTGTGTGTGGGTGGTGTGTGTGTGTGTGTGTGTGTGGTGTGGTGTGTGTGTGTGTGTGTGTGTGTGTGTGTTTCCTGTCTTCAGTTTAGCTTTCTGCCCATCTGTGGGTTGTAGATGACGAACGTCTCGCCGGCTGTTTGTTGCTCCGGTGTCACTTCCACTCGTCCTCTGGGTGTCAGTGTTTGTAAGCTGGAGTCTGATGAAGAACCTGAGCCGGGTTGTGTGTGTAGGTGTGTGTGTGTAGGTGTGTGTGTGTAGGTGTGTGAGCGAGAGGAAGAGGGACTGTATGTAAAACTATCCGAGCACAGCGAGGGGAAATTGTAACCGCCCATTGATTGGAGCCGGCCTGTTTCAGGGTCACTGTGATGTCAGCGTTTGTATTATTATTGCTTTTATTGTCTGCAGCTTTTAATTCAACACAACACAATGACATCAAACCTCATTGATCCCTGTGGAGACATGAGCTGCAGCAGATCAAAATAACAGGCGATGCAGCGAAAGCAGAACAACATGAAGACGTAAAACGATCCTTCTGATCTGGAAACCTGGTGAATCAGGAGTTATGATGTTTAGCTTTTCTCCTGACAAACCACAGAATATGACCACAACAGCGTCGTAAAGACAGAAAGTCAGCCCAGCATCGTCTGACAATTCATCAAGCAGATTATTGATGACCGGAGCCGTTAAACATCTAAATGTTGCAGGAGCTTTTTGTTCTCCATCTCAGCCTCTGCATCTTATTATTACAGCCATGCACAGCTTCTGATCAAACTGTTTCCCCATGATGCTGAATATCGTCCCTCAGGTTGTGATGTCATCACATTGTTCCAGTATTTCCATTTGTTTGAGATGTTTTTAGTTGAAACCAGTTTTAAAAGCTTCAGACAGTCCGGTACCGAGCTGATGGCAGGAATGTGTTCCTGTAAATCTTTGGGTTTGGGTTCTGGTGGTTCCGTTCATCTGCAGGCCCGAATCCTGCCAACACCAGAATTGGATCATTTTCCAGTAATGATCTGGTTTCCTGTACCATTTACCTGGTTGAAGCGTTTCGGAGCCGTTTAGGTTTTATCTGTGGAAATTCATCCCAGTTGAAGGATTTAACCAGATGAAGTCCAGATGAACTGGACTGAACTCTGTTAGTTTCTCTGATTTTTGAGGAAATTTTTAATGATGTTTGAAAGTTGGGTCCAACTCAACCGCTGTTACTGTTGTAACGGGTCAATTAGCTCAGATTCAGGCTCATTGATGGTTCTCCGGCCCTGAAGCTGTTTCTATCAGTTTGCTTCCTCTGCTCTGCTGCTCCTCTTCATCAGTTACCCAGACTCTTTCTCACCATTCACTTCTCCTCTGTCAGTCTGTCCCTCCACATGTCCATCATCCTGTCTCCTGCCTTCTCACCTCTCGTCTCTCTGCCTCGATGTTTCCACCCGTCTGTCTCCCTGGCAGCCTGTCGCTCTCTCTCCCCCCCTCTGTCAGTCTCTGCGGGTCTTTGCCGCCAGCCTCTCTGTCAGGAGGATTACAGGGCGTCAGGTTGGCCAACATGGACTCTTTTAGTGGGGAAACAAAATGTTCCTCTCAGCACAAAGCCGCTCTAATCCTGCCTCCTCTTCCCCCACGGCACAGCCTGATTACAGAAAGCTGGTTGGCCGGCATTAAGACAGACAGACAGACAGACAGACAGACAGACAGACAGACAGACAGGCCGGAAGACGGACGTTTCTGCAGACAGACAGGCGGACAGACGGACAGATGGACAGGCAGGTTTGCTGTATTTAAGCCGAGCTGGTGTCGTTGTTTGGTTGGTTAACAGACTGATTAGTTTCTGGTTTACTCACTAACTGAACCACCAGCTGCTCTCAGATAAAACCGATCCAGTTTCCAGACTCATTGGGTTTCGCCTGAGCAGCGGTGGCCCGTCAGTACAACCACAGAACCAAACAGGTTAGCAGTTTGGTTCTGCTAAGCTGGCAAATAAATCCCAGGCACTGGTGTGGTGTGAAAGCCGTAACCCTTACAGATAATCCCATTTGGTAAAGTTCCTTCCAGGCCCGCTCCCTGGTCGTCCTCTTTGCCTCTGCAGCATCTTCAGTTCCTCCTCTGCTCACATCCAACCCGCCTCAACCTCAGCTCTCAACCCAGACCACTCAGCATTTCTATTATTTATCTCTTAATACAATAAAAGAAAATGCAGGTTGGGAACGACGAAGGTTGTCATTTTCAAAGCGACCAATGCAGGAGTGGGAATCATCTTCCTTTCTGCTGAGTGTCTGGATCTTTGTGATCCAGACACTCAGAGATGAGGAAGATGTTGCAAATGTTGGCCTCTGTGGCAGCGCTAAGATGTTTCCACTGTGCATGCTAAGGTATATTTGGTGTTTGAACTATTAAACTAGGCAGTTATGAATGATTTCAGAGGGGAGTCTCAGGTATTTGTGGCGTTCTTCTGTTTGTGCAGTGATTCATAACTGCCACCAAGATCAGCGACCCACTGCGACTCAAACATCAGATTTAAATGGTGGTTTCACTGAAGCAAGGGAACTAGGGAACCCTAGTGAAATAACCAGGGAACTAGGGAACCCTAGTGAAATAACCAGGGAACCCTATAAAAGAACCAGGGAACCCTGTGAAAGAACCAGGGAACTAGGGAACCCTAGTGAAAGAACCAGGGAACCCTAGTGAAAGAACCAGGGAACTAGGGAACCCTAGTGAAAGAACCAGGGAACCAGGGAACCCTATAAAAGAACCAGGGAACCCTGTGAAAGAACCAGGGAACCCTGGTGAAAGAACCAGGGAACTGGGGAACCCTAGTGAAAGAACCAGGGAACCCTAGTGAAAGAACCAGGGAACTAGGGAACCCTAGTGAAATAACCAGGGAACTAGGGAACCCTAGTGAAATAACCAGGGAACTAGGGAACCCTGTGAAAGAACCAGGGAACCCTAGTGAAAGAACCAGGGAACTAGGAAACCCTAGTGAAAGAACCAGGGAACTAGGGAACCCTAGTGAAATAACCAGGGAACTAGGGAACCCTAGTGAAATAACCAGGGAACTAGGGAACCCTAGTGAAAGAACCAGGGAACCCTATAAAAGAACCAGGGAACCCTGTGAAAGAACCAGGGAACCCTGTGAAAGAACCAGGGAACCAGGGAACCCTATAAAAGAACCAGGGAACCCTGTGAAAGAACCAGGGAACCCTGGTGAAAGAACCAGGGAACTGGGGAACCCTAGTGAAAGAACCAGGGAACCCTAGTGAAAGAACCAGGGAACTAGGGAACCCTAGTGAAATAACCAGGGAACTAGGGAACCCTAGTGAAATAACCAGGGAACTAGGGAACCCTGTGAAAGAACCAGGGAACCCTAGTGAAAGAACCAGGGAACTAGGAAACCCTAGTGAAAGAACCAGGGAAACTAGGGAACCCTAGTGAAATAACCAGGGAACTAGGGAACCCTAGTGAAAGAACCAGGGAACCCTATAAAAGAACCAGGGAACCCTGTGAAAGAACCAGGGAACCCTGTGAAAGAACCAGGGAACCCTGGTGAAAGAACCAGGGAACTGGGGAACCCTAGTGAAAGAACCAGGGAACCAGGGAACCCTGGCCAGGTGATGCTGTGGTGTTATAGAAATGTCAGGTAGTCGTTTCTACTGATTACGTTCTGATAGGATCCACGATTCAGCATCAGTTAAATGCTCTCTGGGGTTTTTACTGTGTTTTCTTGTCTTTACAGCTTTAACTGCCTACACGTATCTCACCATCTTCGACCTGTTCAGGTGAGTCCCTGGGTCATTAACGGGGTTTGGGTCAGAGGTGACCCTTAGCTGACCCTGTGGGTTGGTTCTGTGATTCTTCTTGTCGCTCACTGACTCTTCATCTGCTCTCCTCTCATCTCGGCCTTCCACCCCTCCATCAATCACCTGCCAACACCCTTCTCTCCTCTCGCTCCGTCTGCTCCTCCTCCTCTCACCTGCAGTTGATCACCTGTCTCATCAGCTCCTGGGTGACGATGAAGAAGCCCAGTCAGGTCTACTCATTCGGGTGAGTTCCCTCTCATCTCCTGCTGCAGGTTGAAGGCCTTAGAGCTGATATTCTGCTTTCTTTGATTTACTTCACTGATGGACAAAATTAATCTGGCAATGTGAGCTCATTGCTGACGTCTTTCCTTCTTGGTGCTGCTAGCAGCGCTAGCTGTGTCTGCCGGGTTTCTGAGTTAAAACATGTTTAGTTGGCAGAAATGTGAAAATATCTCCAGATAATTATGTGTTACTGGAAGACAGTAATAAAACCCAAACACCAAACATAAACAAAAAGACAAATCCATGATTGACCTCTTTATTCGCTGAAGTTTCCGATTCACCAGAGACTCTTTTTCCATCTTTGCTGAATAAATGAACTTATAATAAATGAACAACATCAGCCTGGTGGCCCGCCAGGCTGATGTTTCACTGGGGAAATCCTGCATGTTTCAGGTTTCAGCTCAAATGATGCCGGTGTTTCATACTCAGATTCTCCAGAACCGGACTTGGAGATTCTGCTGACTTTGAAACTAATAAAACCCAAAGAGTGAGATAAAAATCTCAGAGAATGGACTGGGTCACCAGGAAACAAACACGTCCTGCGTGTGCAGCTGCTTCAGTCGCTGCCTGTTGTCCACAAGAAGACGTTTGCTCCTAAGAGGTGACCTCTGACCCCAGGGTTTGGAGGAGTGGCAACCAGGTGGAAAATCTGCTTTTCAGCTTGTCTTGAGTCCCACAAAGCCCCAGTGTGTGTGTGTGTGTTAATGTGTGTGTTTGTTAATGTGTGTTAATGTGTGTGTGTGTGTATTAATGTGTGTGTGTGTGTGTTAATGTGTGTGTGTGTGTATTAATGTGTGTGTGTGTTAATGTGTGTTAATGTGTGTGTGTGTGTTAATGTGTGTGTGTTTGTTAATGTGTGTGTGTTTGTTAATGTGTGTTAATGGTGTGTGTGTGTGTGTGTGTGTGTATTAATGTGTGTTAATGTGTGTGTGTGTGTGTTAATGTGTGTGTTTGTTAATGTGTGTGTGTTTGTTAATGTGTGTCAATGTGTGTGTGTGTGTTAATGTGTGTGTGTTTGTTAATGTGTGTGTGTTTGTTAATGTGTGTTAATGTGTGTGTGTGTTAATGTGTGTGTGTTTGTTAATGTGTGTGTGTTTGTTAATGTGTGTTAATGTGTGTGTGTTAATGTGTGTGTGTTTGTTAATGTGTGTGTGTTTGTTAATGTGTGTTAATGTGTGTGTGTTTGTTAATGTGTGTTAATGTGTGTGTGTTAATGTGTGTGTGTTTGTTAATGTGTGTGTGTTTGTTAATGTGTTAATGTGTGTGTGTTAATGTGTGTGTGTTTGTTAATGTGTGTTAATGTGTGTGTGTTTGTTAATGTGTGTTAATGTGTGTGTGTTTGTTAATGTGTGTTAATGTGTGTGTGTTAATGTGTGTGTGTTTGTTAATGTGTGTGTGTTTGTTAATGTGTGTGTGTTTGTTAATGTGTGTTAATGTGTGTGTGTGTTAATGTGTGTGTGTTTGTTAATGTGTGTTAATGTGTGTGTGTGTGTTAATGTGTGTGTGTTTGTTAATGTGTTAATGTGTGTGTGTGTTAATGTGTGTGTTTGTTAATGTGTGTTAATGTGTGTGTGTGTTAATGTGTGTGTGTTTTTAATGTGTGTGTGTTTGTTAATGTGTGTTAATGTGTGTGTGTGTTAATGTGTGTGTGTTTGTTAATGTGTGTTAATGTGTGTGTGTGTGTTAATGTGTGTGTGTTTGTTAATGTGTGTGTGTTTGTTAATGTGTGTTAATGTGTGTGTGTGTGTGTTAATGTGTGTGTGTTTGTTAATGTGTGTTAATGTGTGTGTTTGTGTTAATGTGTGTGTGTTAATGTGTGTGTGTTTGTTAATGTGTGTTAATGTGTGTGTGTGTGTTAATGTGTGTGTGTTTGTTAATGTGTGTTAATGTGTGTGTTTGTTAATGTGTGTGTGTTTGTTAATGTGTGTGTGTTTGTTAATGTGTGTTAATGTGTGTGTGTGTTAATGTGTGTGTTTGTTAATGTGTGTTAATGTGTGTGTGTTTGTTAATGTGTGTTAATGTGTGTGTGTGTTAATGTGTGTGTGTTTGTTAATGTGTGTGTGTTTGTTAATGTGTGTGTGTTTGTTAATGTGTGTGTGTTTGTTAATGTGTGTTAATGTGTGTGTGTTTGTTAATGTGTGTGTGTTTGTTAATGTGTGTGTGTTTGTTAATGTGTGTTAATGTGTGTGTGTGTTAATGTGTGTGTTTGTTAATGTGTGTTAATGTGTGTGTGTGTGTGTTAATGTGTGTGTGTTTGTTAATGTGTGTGTGTTTGTTAATGTGTGTGTGTGTTTGTTAATGTGTGTGTGTTTGTTAATGTGTGTTAATGTGTGTGTGTTAATGTGTGTGTGTTTGTTAATGTGTGTGTGTTTGTTAATGTGTGTGTGTTTGTTAATGTGTGTTAATGTGTGTGTGTGTTAATGTGTGTGTGTTTGTTAATGTGTGTTAATGTGTGTGTGTTTGTTAATGTGTGTTAATGTGTGTGTGTGTTAATGTGTGTGTGTTTGTTAATGTGTGTGTGTTTGTTAATGTGTGTCAATGTGTGTGTGTGTGTGTGTATTAATGTGTGTGTGTGTGTTAATGTGTGTGTGTGTGTGTTAATGTGTGTCAATGTGTGTGTGTGTTTGTGTGTGTATTAATGTGTGTGTTTGTGTTAATGTGTGTGTGTGTGTTTGTGTGTGTGTGTATTAATGTGTGTGTTTCTGTGTGTGTGTGTGGTGTGTGTGTGTGTATTAATGTGTGTGTTTGTGTGTGTGTGTGTGTGTGTGTGTGTGTGTGTGTGTGTGTGTGTGTGTGTGTCCTGATAGCCTCCCTGTGGCTCAGCAGCAGATTTCTTTGGCTCCGTCTAAAACCGTATTTCCAGGAATTATTCTGCTCCATTTGTACTAAATCTGGTTTATTGTTTCAAGCTTTATTATTCTGTTGAACTCATGGGTTTAAAGAACCACAACTAACCGGACCTTTAGCTGTTGATCAGCAGTGGGTAGGCCGCCCAGAGGCCCGCCCAGAGGCCCCCCACCCAGAGGCCCCCCACCCAGAGGCCCCCCGCCCAGAGGCCCGCCCAGAGGCCCCCCACCCAGAGGCCCCCCGCCCAGAGGCCCACCCAGAGGCCCCCCACCCAGAGGCCCGCCCAGACTATCACTGATATCATCATAAAGCGAAGTATTGATCAGAGAGCATTAATTATTGGCTTAGATATTCTTGGAGACTTAGATTGTATTTTTCATGCTGGTGTAACATTGAACCAGTTGGACAAAGTCTCAGGGCAGCAGAGGCTCACAGTGGACCCTAAAGGCATTAGCCAAAGGTTAAAGGTCACAGAGTGATGGAAGCACAGATGAGAAACGGAGGGAAACGGGAGAAAGGCGGTTATAGAAAGACTTTTATAATTGAAACTGATTAAAATAGTTAGATCTCTTTTCTCTGGGATTAATTACAGATAATCTAATCTCAGTGATGGATCTACGATAAACCTGATCAGATTACACAGCATTTAATCCGGGGCTCAATCAGGAGCAAAGTTGTTATTCAGTAGCTAAAATATTCTGCTTCAGATGAATAATGTTGTTTATTGCTTTTGTTTAATGGGCGTCTCTGACAGTGAAAGCTAAACATGCTAACAAAATGAGTTGCTTTCATTTAGAGAATAAAGTAATAACATGAAAATAAAGTCAAAAAGTTCAGAATAGAAATAAAAACGATATAAAATAAAGTAGTAATATTACCAGAGTAAGTAAGGAGTTAAGGTTAGGAGACGTTTTGTGAGACTTCCTCCATGAAATATAATAAAAATGATATGAATTATATTTTGGTATTAGTTTCACAAATAGGGAGATAATTCATCTTATTATATGTCAGAATTAGACCTGATAACCTGTGAAGCTGTTTGTTCTTTCATTAAAATGACTTTTGTTTGATTATTTTAGGATTTCTTTATCTTGTAATATTTGTGTCTTGATGACAATTAAAATCAAATCAAATCATCCTGTTGAGCAGGAGACTTTAGTTTTCCTACCTGCAGATCAGAGGTGGGTTGTGCATGAACTTTGACCTCCTCCAGTGGAGCCAGAGCCGTTCAGAGGAAGCATGGCTGTGATGAACGGAGCCGTTTCTCCTGACCGCAGTGAGGAAGACGTTAGCATCAGTGGTTCTGGGCTCATGGTGCTGTGACGGCGCCGTCAGCCTGAGGCGGCAGCTCTAATTCTGTTTTCCTAAAATCATCAACACCAGGCGATCTGACGATTGATTGGAGCGGACCAGACGCCTCGCGTGTCGCTTTCTTCCTGCCAGTGAATCCTTCCTCAGACTTCAGCGGCGGCGCTGTTCCTCCGCCAACAGGCCCGTTCCAGTCGCAGACGGGCTGGAGGTTCTGCTACACGGTGTCCGTATGGATTAACCTCAGGCGGAGCGGAGCGTGACCTCTGACCTTGCAGCACTCAGACAAAGAGCTCTTGGTGGGAGTTTCTGCTGGAGTCATCTGTGGGTGTTCCCATTGTTTGCGTGCAGACCCACACAGACGACCCGCAGGATGCCGGATCATCGGATCATGAAACGGATCCGTTCAGAACCGTTTCTCTTCTTCACCTCCATCTGAATCACATGAACTCATCTAGTTTCAGCTGAGCAGCATCATCTCCATTCATCTCTATTAACACCTTTCAGTTTAAAGACCTGACACATTTGTTTGGGGAACATAAGTCACTCAGCAGGATAATCTGACCCAACTTCACTTTTTCTCCTTTGTCCACTTTTCTGCAGCAGACTGATCGGCCGCATTCTGATTTTATTTTCCGTTTTATTTGATCTGATCTGTCCTCTTCCATATGAGGAACTGAAGCCGATTGTTTCCAAAGCGTCTGCAGTCTCAACAGCTGTGTCGTATTTTACTCGACTCTTAGGTCACTCATGTGAGACAAGCATCATGATTCTGCACCAGAAGAAGCAGGACGGAGCAAATCTGGACGTAAACGATGATGTTCCACTTTCTGCATGTCACTGAGCTCATTGCATCCATCCTGCCTCTGGATTTAAAGCTGGAGACGTCCGGAACAACTTCATGAGTCGCTGAGGTTGCAGAGTGTTCCTCCTGGAGTTTCCTTCCAGCTTCAGGCATTAAACTCACATCTTTGATGGATTGACCAGATTCAGCTAAAAGATGAGCTTGTCTTTGCAGGCTTATTGCTGTAATATGGTGGAGCCTGTTGCTTCAGCATGAAGCTGCTGCCTGGTAAAGTCCTCAAAGCAGGCCGGCTGCCTCTGCAACAGGCTGCCGCTGCAACAGGCTGCCGCTGCAACAGGCCGCCGCCGCCGCTGCAGCAGGCTGCCGCTGCCCGCCGCCGCTGCAGCAGGCCGCCGCTGCAGCAGGCCGCCGCTGCAGCAGGCTGCCGCTGCCCGCCGCTGCCCGCCGCCGCTGCAGCAGGCCGCCGCTGCAACAGGCTGCCGCTGCCCGCCGCTGCCCGCCGCAGCTGCAGCAGGTGATCTGGGAAGATATTAATTTATTTTATCTGATGTGATCATCGTCAACTTTTGTTAAAATGCGCATTTTAACAAAGGGGGTCCGAGCCGAGCCGAGCCGGGTCGAGCCGGGCCGAGCCGGGCCGGGCCGGTGTGGAGGCCAGAGGTGGGATGTCTGTCAACAAACATGGCTGCAGTCCTAGAAACACTCGCTTTCAGTTTGTTGGTATTAAGCGGGTCGTTGGATCGGTGACATCCAGCGTGGAGATTAACCTCGGCGCTCAGCGGACCGCTCATTAAAACAACCGCTCGTCCTGAAGCAGCAGCAGCACATCGGGCCGGTCCTTCTGGGCTTCAGGGTTCATTATTTAATCATCAGAAAAATAAATTCCGGTTATTTTCACCAATTTGAGGCACTTTTCCCAAGACAAACTAACCTGATGTTATATGGAAATACATGAGGTCATCTAATCAGTTCTTTCCAGAATGGTCCAATAATGGAAACAGATTCAAATCTATTCCATTACATCCTTTATTTCAGTTTTTCTGGAAATATTCCCCCAAATTTTGGACCTCCTGAAATGTCCAATTACTGAATTGTGTAATCAACCCTGCGTCTCTTGGATTATAGTTTCCCATCTTCAGTGGTTCTGACCGGTTCTGTCCTCATTCGCCTGCTTCCTCTGCTTCATTTAGCAGAAACAGCAGCTCCTCGGTTCGGGTCAACCCATCAGATCACAGTCGGCGTCGATCTTAACCTCATTAGCTCAACGCTCGCTAAGCTGCCCTCTATATGAGGAGGTCATAGGTCGCCAACTGCTGTAACTGAATGTCAGCTCGTTCTGAGTTGGAGGTGGTTTCCCACATTTAACAGCCGGGATGTTTGGATTCCCGTCGCTGAGCCGGTTTCTGATTGGCTGTCGGCTTCTTCTCCCAGATTCTGGACTAATCCTGAAACCAATCCAGAGTTTTCTCTCTGGAGAAGAAAATCTGTGAAACTTGGCTCTGTGCAGAGGCAGAACTCGATAAAACTGTTTATTATTTCCATTAATTGAAATGTTATTTGTGAGTCTGGTTATAGCCATATTAAGAATAATAAAAAGGGGATTGGACTAGACCAGATAATGTGACCTCAAACCTACTTCCTGAAATCCTCTGATCCCAAAACCAGATTGCTAATCCCAAATTAGCTGCCTGAGAAACCACAGCGCCTGCAAAGTGCAGCATTTTCATTATCTCTACGAATTACATCACATATGTAAAGCTGCATAAACATTTGTCTGCCTCCTGAAATGAGAATCTAGTAGCAAATCACAAACGGTCGTCTCGTAAAACTCGACACGTCTGCAGGGAGGAAGAGGAGCGAATGCAACAAAACCACCAACTTCTTTCTCACCTAACAGTTTCTGCTCATGTTATCATGTTATCTTCCAGTTGCCTGTTAGATATTAATGCTCTTATCACATCAGTCGTTCCTCCTTTAATGGTCTGTGTGTTGGTGTGGATCAATCTGCAGAAAGCTGGAGCTCATCTTTTTAACGGCCACTAAATGTATAAAAACATGACTTCAGTCTTGGCTCACCTTCACTCGCTTCCTGTCTGTTCAGGGAAAGATTTAAGACTTTATTGCTTATTTTTACGTCTTTAAACGGTTTGAACTGGGTTTTATTGATCCCAGCCTTGCAACATGTTACAAGGCTGAAGAGGTATTGAAGTGATACTCTGTGGTCAGGAATCTCCTCTGGTCAGAAGCCAAAGACGAGATTAGATCACCTCAGTCAGCATCTGCTCCAGATGTTGGTGATGTCTGGAAGAATGGCTCTGAGGTCGCAGGTTTACTGAATGTTTGACTGAGCAGGTTGCAGATGAATGGATTCACCGCTTTTTCTCTTTTTCCTCCTGTTCAGGTTTGAAAGGTTGGAGGTTTTGGCTGTTTTTGCCTCCACTGTCCTGGTCCAGCTGGGAGCTCTGTTCATCCTGAAGGAAAGGTACAGACATGAATCATAGCGGCATTTATTGTCATTTATTTCACCTGCTTCACACAGAAATCCTGTTTTAGTCGAGTTTCTGATGCGCTTTGCTTTACAATTTAAAACAAAAGGATAGAAATGAGTCTCTTCATTAAGTTTTGTCATAAATCTTCAAAGAAAAGATTTCTGCAGGGTTTTCTGCTGAGATAGGAAATAAAATAGTTTCAGACTTTTTGCACATCTTCAGCTGGGCGGCGCTGGGTTTATGCTGTTTCCTGTGCTGGAGCAGAGCAGCGCCATCAACGCTCCGGAGGTCGGATCAGAAAAAACCCTTCAGGAAAATAACTTCACCAAGCGTCATTTCATGTGAATTAGTGCAAACAACAGAATATAAAACTGAACTATTCAGATAAACATGAGTTAAGAAGGTGATCTTTAAATCAAAAGTGGTTTTTAACAGTAGTTTAATCATAAAACATTTACAGATGTTTTTACTCTAAATTGTTGGAAACCAATTTAGATTTTTTCTGAACTCCAATTTCAGGAAAGAAAAAAAACAAAACTTTTCATTCTACAAATTAAATGTGATGAAGTCAGAGTTTTGAATGTGTAAAGATGGCCGCCACAGCGCTCTGTTCAGGGCAGTAAAGATGGCCGCCGCAGCGCTCTGTTCAGGGCAGTAAAGATGGCCGCCGCAGCGCTCTGTTCAGGGCAGTAAAGATGGCCGCCGCAGCGCTCTGTTCAGGGCAGTAAAGATGGCTGCCGTCTCCAGATTGATTGTTGGAGTAGCTAACAGCCTTTGGTGGAGCCTCTGACCCGGTTCTGTTTGGATGCAGAATCCAACCAGGAGTGCTGGGTTGTTTTACTGCCTGGTTCCAGGTGTCACCTGAATGTTTCTGTGCGTGTGTGTGTGTTAATGTGTGTGTGTGTGTGTGCGTGTGTGTGTTAATGTGTGTGTTAATGTGTGTGTGTCTGTGTGTGTGTGTGTGTGTGTTAATGTGTGTGTGTGTGTGTCTGTGTGTGTGTGTGTCTGTGTGTGTGTGTTAACTAGTGAGGAATGCCACCGCCTCGTCAGTGTAACACACTCACACATTTTCCTGGCGTCAGGTTTGGGGTCGTCCTCAGGTCGTTTCTCAGAGAGGGGAGGGCTCCGTGGTCCGAGATCAAAACATTCATGCGCACCCACACACACACACACACACACACACACACACACACACACACACACACACACACATTCCCATTGAGTCTTTAGCACACCTGTTCTGATGTCTGCTGCAGATGTGACTTTTTGTAGTTGATGAAATCGTTGATTTTTCTCAATAAATCCTGAAGGTTAACATTTGACCTTCAGTATTTGACCTTCAGGTCAAACCGCAGCCCAGGTCTGCTTCGACAAATGATCCTAACAACTCCAGCTGAGTTTAAATCCAGCTGTGGATTTAAACTGTTTAGTCACACGTGGCTGAAAAAAGGCTAAATGATGATTTTGGAGTGGCCTAGTCAAAGTCAGGACTGAAAGTTCATTGACACAGATCTGAATATGTTTGAATACAGAAAAGCAATAGCAGAAAAAATCTGAAACGCTGTTTCTAAATGATCGATGGTTGAAAACAAGTCGAGTTTAGAATTTGGGATAATTTTAAAATTATTGTTAAATCTGCAAAATCAACATGGAGCAAAAAATTCAGAAATTCAACTCATCATTCAGCTAAATCAGTGCTTCTCAATTATTTTCCGTTACGCCCCCCCTAGCAAGAACAAAACTATTCGCGCCCCCCACTCCCCACCGTGACTATCCATCTCTGCATAAAATTTTTCCTTATTAACATTAAAGAAAAAAAGAAAGACATATGGTCAAACTTACAAAGAATAACTTTATTAAATCGTGTTTTAAGTCTGCAACAGAAAAGATTTTAAGTGCATCAATGCCTGAAATTAAAAATAAATAAATCCGTGTCTACTGCTGCAGGCAGTATCAGCTCCTCTGCTATGGTGTGGGGCTTTTTGCACTGCGCAATTTGGTACGCCACCTTATATGATGCTAGCAGCGCTCGATGGTTTACTGAAGTAGCCTTCACAAAGCGGGATGACTGTTGGCAATATTCAGCACGTTTTCGCTGAAAAAACTCTAGCGGCTTATCGGCGTGATTGGGATGTAACGTATTTAAGTGACGCGCTAATTTATTTGGCTTCATGCTGTCCGCTGCGAGCATTTTTAGACACAGCAAACACAGCGGTCTTTCCTCTTCTCCAACTGTAGTCACAGTGAAGCCAAGCGCTAAATACGCTTCGTCGTATTTCCTCTTCTTAGCTTTCGGTTGACTTTCTGTTGTCTCATTATCTTTGTCTCTCTCCGCGTTTCTTTTCATCCCTGTGAAAAACTTTTTCATGTTGGGGGTTGTTGAATAACGGAGGCCATAGACAGAACGCAGTCGGAGCTTTTTGTTGACTTAACACTGCTAACCAAGGCAAACCTGTTGTCTTGTAAGTCGTAAAATGTTGCACTGTCGCAAACGTGACAGAAGTAACAATGAGAGCGCCACTGCCGCCTACTGTGCGCAATTACACTTTATACTGGTTCGGCCAAAAAAAAGCCTGTTCCCCAGGATCACACGCCCCCCCAGGTATCGCACCGCGCCCCCCAAAGGGGGCCCGCCCCACTATTTGAGAAGCACTGAGCTAAACGAAGATAATTAAATAGGAAACTGGTTTCCATACAAGACCTTTTACCTCCTAAAAATGATTTTATACTGTTCACTGAAAATACGATCAGCCAGGAGGAGGTGTGTGTGTGTGTGTGTGTGTGTGTGTGTGTGTGTGTGTGTGTGTTTTCACCTATTTGCTTTTTCCCAGTGTGTGAGTGAATGTTTGCTCCTTGTCTCCTTGTCTCCTCTTGTTCGGTTCACGTCTCCATCACTGCCTCACACACACACACACTCACACACACACACACACGCCGATCTGAATGGCCGCTGTTGTTTACTTACTGTGGGTGTGTTTCTTTGTTTTTAGTGTGGAGCGCTTTGTGGAGCAGCCGGAGATCCACACGTAAGTATTATCCCTCCCAATACACACACACACACACACACACACACACACACACACACACACACACACACACACACACACACACATTCCCACAGGAGGACGGAAAATAAACAGACATGATACCCTGTTGTGTGTGAGGGGATTACACACACACACACACACACACACACACGCATACACACACGCACACACACACACACACACACACACACACACACACACACACACACACACACACACACACACACACGGGGAGTGACAGCTGTTGAGGGAACAGAACATCCCAAACAACTGGGTCACTCTACGCAACAAACAGAATTACATTTAGAGGAACAGTGGCAGCGCTGACGTCTTCTCAGTCTCACTGTGATGTGTGTGTGTGTGTGTGTGTGTGTGTGTGTGTGTGTGTGTGTGTGTGTGTGTGTTCCTCCACATTTAAAACTGTTCAGTCAGAAGCTGAGGGAGGAAATTTCATATCTTTATTGGACTCTGGTTGATCTCTGCAGCTCCTTGCAGCTCTCAGGTGTTTTCTCCAAACTTTGATGCTGCAGGTGTTTTTGATTTAATTTCCATATTATTTCTTTAAGATACATTTTCCTTCAGAAACTCACTTTCCATAATCGTCATTGTTACCTGGCCTGTCCTCATTTGTTTCCTTCTTGAGATGCTAAGCTAGCGTGCAACACCTTCAGATTTTACTTTATCATAAATTGTCAGAATAGTTATTTTGATAAATAATAATATTCCTGTTATAAAGTAATGTATTTATATCAGCATAATAATGCAAGTTAGCTCTCTGGACTTTAACACTGGGACCTTAAGGGAAATGAAATGTTGTGAAGATGGATGAATTTTCATTATATATCAGAAAAAGACCCTTTAAAGAACAGAAGTACAAATATTTAGTTTGTTAGTTTATTAAATTATTTTGTAGTTTCTAAGCAGCTGTATGTAAAATATGATTGTAGATGAGAAATGTGATATTTACTGTGGAAACAGTCGTTTAGTCGTTTCCCTCCACAGAGTTCTTTTTAAGTGTTTTTTTTTTTTAATTTGGTGAGTTTTTTCCATGCTTCCTGTCATGGATAAATCCCAGATGGTTGTTTGAACCATGACCTTCATCATGTGTGTCCACCTGTTGGTGGACCAGAAAAAGGTTGTAGTGAGCATCTGTCTCTGCGAGGATCTATCCAAATCTGATAGATCAGTGCAGCTGAAGAAACTAAGAGCTGAATAAATTGGAGGAATGAAACACGTTTGGTGATTTATGGCAGCTTTGATGACCTGAAGCCCAGAGATTTGAACCTGTGACAGGATTACCCCCCGGCGTCTTATCTCTCCTTTCCTTTCCTCTTCTGTCTCAACCTGATTGGCTTCTCAGGACTGGAGCAGCCGTCCGATTGGCTGGAACAGCAACACCCACATTTCCATTCTGATTAATCTGACCAATGAGGGGCGGTTGCTTTCTAGTCCCTTAATTGGATTATTGGTGGAGTTTTTTACTTCTTGTTTGACTTGTGAACTGGTGGTGATTTTATCAGCTTACATGACATAAATCAATCAGTTCAGGTTTGATTTAAAGAGTTGCTGCTTGTTTTTGTGTCCAGGGGGTTTTATACTGAATACACTGGATTTCTTAATAAATTTATTCAGATTTTATTTTTCTGAAGGGAAAATCTTCTCAGCTCAAACCAACAGGGTTAAATCTGTGCAGAAAGGAGGAGATGTTAAAAAACAAGATTAAGAATGAAATACTGTCAAAGATTATCACAAAAATACTGTGTAGTTAGAAAATAATGTGCTGTGATGTAAGGGACGTTCGAGTCGTAGGATGACTTTGTTGTGCATTAATTACACAACTCAACAAAAATGCAATAGCACCATGAATGTTATTTAAAATGAAACTAATTGAGTTTGTTGGAGGAGGAAGGATCTGTGATAACGCTGCTTTGTGCAGTGCGGATGCAGCAGTCTGTGTTTGGTACCTGCTTCATCCTCAGTGGGAGGAATCATCATCAGTCCTTCTGTCTCCCATCAGCTGCTGGTCAGGAAGGAACCTGGAAACAAAACAAAACAAAACATGGACAGAAGGAGTCGTTCCAGTGGAGGAAACGAGAGTTTTGGTTGATCCTGGAACGAGGAATGAATCTGATTGGATGAACCCTCTGCTCTCTGCAGACGTTTCCGTCCCATTAGCTGGTGGGCGGAGCCTCTGGGCGGAGCTGGTGGGCGGAGCTTCTGGGCGTCAGCGTGACGGTTTGGGGAGCTTTGGTCCATCAGGATGTTTCTGTACCACCTACAAAAATACAAGTATTACCAAATAATTCAGCTTAGTTTTAGTGCCAATGCTTTAGTCCATGTGAAATGAGACAAAACTAACTAACATGTTCCTTTTCAGCCAGATGCAGGAGCTGGTTTTAAGTTAATATTTCCTTAGTATTGATGAAACGTTCCAGTTCTACGTGTTACTTCATTATAATGAGACGTTTTTCCTGGTAAACGCTCAGATCTCCCAGGATGTAAAGGCTCTGCTGCTGCTGGTACCAGACCGCAGCTCTCCGGGTCCGGGCGGTTAGAGCAGCAGGTGGTCATAATGTTTTGCCGGTTAACAGATGTGTTTCCGTCCCCAGAGGGCGGCTGCTGGTCGGGACGTTCGTCGCTCTGTTCTTCAACCTGCTGACTCTGCTCTCCGTCAGGAACAAACCCTTCTCCTACGTCTCTGACGGTAAGCCCCGCCCCCTGCTCCGGATCCGGTCCGGTTCTGGTGGTTCTGGTAATCCCTGCTCCTCTGGGGAACAGAATGATTTAGCCTTTGTGATGTTTTGGGGAATTATGGGAATGAGGCGGCGGCGCCGTTCCTCTGTCACTGAATAAATCAGATGAAATCAAATGAAACGCAGCAGCTGATTGGTCGTTCCAGAGCATTACGCTGACAGCTGATTGGTTGTTCCAGAGCATTACGCTGACAGCTGATTGGTTGTTCCAGAGCATTACGCTGACAGCTGATTGGCTCTCAATGCTTACCAGAGGATTATCAAAGAGTTGATAAAAGTTTTCCTTCATCAGTCGCTTGGTTGAGGGTTAAATTCCCTCCCATGTTTCCTGATGGGAAGCTGCTCAGAAAATGGTGTTAATCTCCATGGCAACCAGAGACGCAGCATGAATGTTATTTCATTTTAAATAACCTGAATGTGTTATTTAACACGTCCATGCTGCTCCTCTTCCTCTCGGTTTCCTCCTGTCCTCATTCGTCCTTCTGTTCCTTCCACTTCATTTCACTTTCCTCCCTCCTTTCTTTCCTTTCCTCTCTTCCACTCTTGCTTCCTCCTGACTTCTCATTTCTCTCATCCTCTGTTCCTGTTCTTCTCTTTCTTCCCTTCTTTCTCTATTTTTCTCATCTGTTTTTCGCTTTAACATTGTTTTCTCTCATTCTTTCCTCATCCTTGCTGTGTTTTCTTCTTTCCTCTTTTGGTTCCTGTTTTTATTCTCTTGTCTTTGCCGTTTCCCTCCTTCCTCCAGTAGCTTTCCTCTTTTGTTTTTGCTCCTCTTCTCCCCGACTGACTCACAGTTTGTCCACTGATGCATGAGCTCGGTGTGTGTGTGTGTGTTTGTGTGTGTGTGTGTGTGTTTGTGTGTGTGTGTGTGTGTTTCAGCTTTTGGTCGTTGTATTTGGAGCAGTCTCAACATCACTTAACATCTGACATTTTTCAAAGGGAAGGGGCTGCACACACACTCACAGACACACACACAGACACACACGCAGACACACACACAGACACACACACACACACACACACAGACACGCACATGCAGACACACACACACACACATACACACACACACACAGAGACACACACACTCGCGCACAGGCGGTGTGTTATGCAACGCTGCTCCTCGCATCGCGACGCGCTGAAACACTCGGACGTCCTCCTGCAGCTCACGTATCATAAATAAGTGACTCCATTAAAATGTTTGTTTAGACTGACTCAGCCTGCTGGCAAAACAAACAACACACTTTAACACACACTTTAACACACACACTTTAACACACACACTTTAACACACACTTTAACACACACATTTTAACACACACACTTTAACACACACTTTAACACACACACTTTAACACACACACTTTAACACACACTTTAACACACACATTTTAACACACACACTTTAACACACACTTTAACACACACACTTTAACACACACACTTTAACACACACACTTTAACACACACACTTTAACACACACTTTAACACACACACTTTAACACACACACTTTAACACACACACTTTAACACACACATTTTAACACACACACTTTAACACACACTTTAACACACACACTTTAACACACACTTTAACACACACACTTTAACACACACACTTTAACACACACTTTAACACACACACTTTAACACACACACTTTAACACACACTTTAACACACACTTTAACACACACATTTTAACACACACACTTTAACACACACTTTAACACACACACTTTAACACACACTTTAACACACACACTTTAACACACACTTTAACACACACACTTTAACACACACATTTTAACACACACTTTAACACACACACTTTAACACACACTTTAACACACACACTTTAACACACACATTTTAACACACACTTTAACACACACACTTTAACACACACACTTTAACACACACTTTAACACACACACTTTAACACACACTTTAACACACACACTTTAACACACACTTTAACACACACACTTTAACACACACACTTTAACACACACTTTAACACACACTTTAACACACACACTTTAACACACACTTTAACACACACACTTTAACACACACTTTAACACACACACTTTAACACACACTTTAACACACACACTTTAACACACACTTTAACACACACACTTTAACACACACTTTAACACACACACTTTAACACACACTTTAACACACACACTTTAACACACACATTTTAACACACACTTTAACACACACACTTTAACACACACACTTTAACACACACTTTAACACACACACTTTAACACACACTTTAACACACACACTTTAACACACACACTTTAACACACACTTTAACACACACACTTTAACACACACACTTTAACACACACTTTAACACACACACTTTAACACACACACTTTAACACACACTTTAACACACACATTTTAACACACACTTTAACACACACACTTTAACACACACACTTTAACACACACTTTAACACACACTTTAACACACACACTTTAACACACACACTTTAACACACACTTTAACACACACACTTTAACACACTTTAACACACACACTTTAACACACACATTTTAACACACACTTTAACACACACACTTTAACACACACACTTTAACACACACTTTAACACACACACTTTAACACACACTTTAACACACACACTTTAACACACACACTTTAACACACACACTTTAACACACACACTTTAACACACACTTTAACACACACACTTTAACACACACACTTTAACACACACTTTAACACACACATTTTAACACACACTTTAACACACACACTTTAACACACACTTTAACACACACTTTAACACACACACTTTAACACACACACTTTAACACACACTTTAACACACACACTTTAACACACACATTTTAACACACACTTTAACACACACACTTTAACACACACACTTTAACACACACTTTAACACACACTTTAACACACACACTTTAACACACACACTTTAACACACACTTTAACACACACACTTTAACACACACTTTAACACACACACTTTAACACACACACCCAGAGCTGCACAGGTCGTGAGGGACCTTTGACCTCCGCTGGGAGCTGGTGGGTCCCGGCGGACGGTGGAGGGTGAAGGTGAAGGTGAAGGTGGAGGTGAAGGTGGAGGTGGAGGTGGAGGTGACGGCGGACACAGCAGCCAAGCGGCTTCACTTCTCTGTCTGATGGGGATATTTTTATCGCCGTGTCGATGGAGGAGCGGCTCGCCGCCGCTCGGGTCCAGAAATACACGGAGTTTGGAGCGGAGGAGGTGAAGGGTCTGTGAACCAGCTGGCTCTGAATGTTTCCTGCAGCGCCGGAGCAGAAACATGCTCTCCATCCGCAGCTGCACGGATCTGTTCCTGGCCGGAGCAGCGGCCGGCCCGGCGCTGCGACCCGGAAGCCATGTTAACGTCCCGATATGAGAATGGCAGTGAAAGTTAGGAAGACAAAATAAACTGATTCCTCGTTAAAATGAGAGCAGATGAAGATCCTCTGCAGATCAAACAGTTCTGGCCAGTTCTGGTCGGTTCTGGTCGGTTCTGGTCGGTTCTGGTCGTTCTGGCCGGTTCTGGTCGGTTCTTCCAGTCGGTTCTGGTCGGATCCAGTCGGTTCTGGTTGGTTCTGGCTGGTTCCGGTCGGTTCCGGTCAGTTCTTCCGGTTGGTTCCAGTCGGTTCCGGTCAGTTCTTCCAGTCGGTTCCGGTCGGTTCCGGTCAGTTCTTCCAGTCGGTTCCGGTCGGTTCCAGTCGGTTCTGGTTGGTTCTGGCTGGTTCCGGTCGGTTCCGGTCAGTTCTTCCGGTCGGTTCCGGTCGGTTCCAGTCGGTTCCAGTTGGTTCCGGTTGGTTCCAGTCGGTTCCGATCGGTTCCGGTCGGTTCCGGTCGGTTCCGGTCGGTTCCAGTCGGTTCCGGTCGGTTCCAGTCGGTTCTGGTTGGTTCTGGTTGGTTCTGGCTGGTTCCGGTCGGTTCCAGTCGGTTCCGGTCGGTTCCAGTCGGTTCTGGTTGGTTCTGGCTGGTTCCGGTCGGTTCCGGTCAGTTCTTCCGGTCGGTTCCGGTCGGTTCCAGTCGGTTCCAGTTGGTTCCGGTTGGTTCCAGTCGGTTCCGATCGGTTCCGGTCGGTTCCGGTCGGTTCCGGTCGGTTCCAGTCGGTTCCGGTCGGTTCCAGTCGGTTCTGGTTGGTTCTGGTTGGTTCTGGCTGGTTCCGGTCGGTTCCAGTCGGTTCCGGTCGGTTCCAGTCGGTTCCGGTCGGTTCCGGTCGGTTCCAGTTGGTTCCGGTCGGTTCCAGTCGGTTCCAGTCGGTTCCGATCGGTTCCGGTCGGTTCCAGTCGGTTCCGGTCAGTTCCAGTCGGTTCCGGTCGGTTCCAGTCGGTTCCAGTCGGTTCCGGTCGGTTCCAGTCGGTTCTGGTTGGTTCTGGTTGGTTCTGGCTGGTTCCAGTCGGTTCCGGTCGGTTCCGATCGGTTCCAGTCGGTTCCAGTCGGTTCCGATCGGTTCCAGTCGGTTCCGGTTGGTTCCGGTCGGTTCCAGTCGGTTCCAGTCGGTTCCAGTCGGTTCCGGTCGGTTCCAGTCGGTTCCGGTCGGTTCCGGTCGGTTCCGGTCGGTTCCGGTCGGTTCCGGTCTGTTCCGGTCGGTTCCGGTCGGTTCCAGTCGGTTCCAGTCGGTTCCGGTCGGTTCCGGTCGGTTCCAGTCGGTTCCGGTCGGTTCCAGTCGGTTCCAGTCGGTTCCGGTCGGTTCCGGTTGGTTCCGGTCGGTTCCGGTCGGTTCCGGTCTGTTCCGGTCGGTTCCGGTCGGTTCCAGTCGGTTCCGGTCGGTTCCGGTCGGTTCCGGTCGGTTCCGGTCTGTTCCGGTCGGTTCCGGTCGGTTCCGGTCGGTTCCGGTCGGTTCCAGTCGGTTCCAGTCGGTTCCGGTTGGTTCCAGTCGGTTCCGATCGGTTCCGGTCGGTTCCGGTCTGTTCCAGTCGGTTCCGGTCGGTTCCAGTCGGTTCCGGTCGGTTCCGGTCGGTTCCAGTCGGTTCCAGTTGGTTCCGGTCGGTTCCAGTCGGTTCCAGTCGGTTCCAGTCGGTTCCGGTCGGTTCCGATCGGTTCCGGTCGGTTCCGGTCGGTTCCGGTCGGTTCCGGTCGGTTCCAGTCGGTTCCGATCGGTTCCAGTCGGTTCCGGTCGGTTCCGGTCGGTTCCGGTCGGTTCCTGTCGGTTCCGGTCGGTTCCGGTCGGTTCCGATCGGTTCCGGTCGGTTCCAGTCGGTTCCGATCGGTTCCAGTCGGTTCCGGTCGGTTCCAGTCGGTTCCGGTCGGTTCCGGTCTGTTCCGGTCGGTTCCGGTCGGTTCCGGTCGGTTCCGGTCGGTTCCGGTCGGTTCCAGTCGGTTCCGGTCAGTTCTTCCGGTTGGTTCCGGTCGGTTCCAGTCGGTTCCAGTCGGTTCCGGTCGGTTCCAGTCGGTTCCGGTCGGTTCCGGTCGGTTCCGATCGGTTCCGGTCGGTTCCGGTCGGTTCCGGTCGGTTCCAGTCGGTTCCAGTCGGTTCCGGTCGGTTCCGGTCGGTTCCAGTCGGTTCCGATCGGTTCCAGTCGGTTCCGGTCGGTTCCGGTCGGTTCCGGTTGGTTCCGGTCGGTTCTTTTCCTGACCTCATCCCCAGACGCAGCAGCATCACTTTAACTTGGTGGATCCAGGTTTTACTCACCCTTTCCGCCCTTTTTCTGACAATTATCTCCATTTTTATTTCATTTTAGTTTCTGCTGATGATTTTCATATTTTTATTTGCCCGATGATAAAATGCTCCTCAGTGAAAACATTTTTCACTGTTGTGTCTAAATTGGATTTCATTACAAGCAGTTGGGCACGAAAACAAAGTGTTTTACTGGATCCTTTCACCAAGTTTAACTGGATCTGGGGAAACTGGGCAGATTCCAGTTTCTGCTGTTTCTCCAGTGGAGTCCCTCAGGGCTCCGTTTAAGAGACACTCACATATTCCTTCAGTTTTAAGCCTTTAGTTCCCATCCTGAGGAGAATCCACCTCGATGCCGACAGTTGAAAACGAAGCAGTTCAGGTGTTACTTTGTTCTGGTTCTGTTTCCGACCCGCCTTACTGGGCTGATCGGGTTTCACTGACTCTGGATCTGTGTGTCTCCCTCTAGCGGCCAGCAGCAGCTGGCTCCAGGAACACGTGGCCGACCTGAGCCGCAGGTAAGAGCATCAACAGCGCCAACCCTGTCCCTGCCTCCTGCTGCTTCCTGTTCATCCTGCTACTTCCTGTCCATCCTGCTACTTCCTGTCCATCCTGCTACTTCCTGTCCATCCTGCTACTTCCTGTCCATCCTGCTACTTCCTGTCCATCCTGCTACTTCCTGTCTGTCCTGCTACTTCCTGTCCATCCTGCTACTTCCTGTCTGTCCTTCTACTTCCTGTCCATCCTGCTACTTCCTGTCTGTCCTGCTACTTCCTGTCCATCCTGCTACTTCCTGTCCATCCTGCTACTTCCTGTCTGTCCTGCTACTTCCTGTCCATCCTGCTACTTCCTGTCTGTCCTGCTACTTCCTGTCCATCCTGCTACTTCCTGTCTGTCCTGCTACTTCCTGTCCATCCTGCTACTTCCTGTCTGTCCTTCTACTTCCTGTCCATCCTGCTGCTTCCTGTCCGTCAGCAGCTCTACTGATCTACTCAGGGATCAGTTCATACTGACTCCACACACACTAGCGATAAAACTCCCTGAGGTCAGAGGTCAGCAGCAGATCAGAGCAGAAACAGATTTCGTCTGAACAGTAAAGCCACCAGAACCTGTTGAAACCGTTTGTCCGTCTGCTGAGGAAGGAGCAGGAAGGAGAGTCAGACTCATGAAACCAGGTTAAAGTTTTATTTAGAAACCTGGAGGCCTTCGCATCGGGTCGCAGTGATGCTATCAGCCAGAGAGATTTCTGGGTAAAACTTCAGCGCCTGGTGACTGACATCATCACACCAGCTGCTATTGTTGTGGTTTTATCACATTCATGTTGGAGCTGCTGCTGAATCCAGTGAGCAGCACATTTACAGTTTATGCAGCAAGTGTTTGGATCCGGCTGGTGAAATGCAGCCGTTGAAACGGCCATTATGGGATTTAAAGATGAAGTTAAATCAGCTGATATCAGGATCCCAAAACTTTCCTGTTTTCATGCATCAGTGCAGCGTCTCAATCAGGTTCATTTACAGTTTCTACAAATAAAGACAAACTGAGAAACGTTTTTCCAAATGTCCTGAAAACGTTTCGAAACAGAAAACGGGATGGAGTTTCCATCTGGACCTCATCTGGTCGTTTTGTCCTGTAGAAACTCCTGCTTGTTGCGGTGAAGCAGCTCAGTGTTGAACGTATAAACCAGGACAAAAGGAAAACCGGGAGGATTTTAACATTTGAAAGAAATTCTTTTATTCTGATGACGGATCCAGAGAAAAGTGTTGGAAACTTTCACATGTCAGCATGTTTGTGCTGCAGCAGGTCGGATGTGAAACGGCGTCTGAGAGCAAAGAGCTGAATGTCCGTCTCTCTGTCACCTGATCTGTGTGGCTGGAAGCTGATATTCCACCTCAGGATGAGTTGGCTCTTAAATTCTGTTGATGGAGAATCTTTTGCTTAAAATATCATTTGTAGTTCCTGCTAATTTATTGTCCAGTCAGAAGAAAAAATGCTGAAGTTTGTGAAGGTAACAGGAACTTCATCCTGCAGCTGCAACCCGACTTCTAGAAGATTTTCCAGATGAAACCTGTGTGAGAATTAAGGAGGCGGTTTGCGGACCTGCAGGGTGTCCCGCTGTGCTGATGTTTTGGGTCGCTGCATCATGGAGGCTGACAGAGGTTCTGTCTGCAGCGCCGGCTCGGATCCGGCTGCTGCTGACTCATCATCATTTATCTGAGTTAAACCTGCAGCCACATGAACACAGCAGTGATCAGATCACACGTCTCTGGTCTTGTTTAATGAACTTTGACCTTCACAGCTGATTAGACCCAAACATTCAGCGTTTCTTTCCGTCTAAATCTGGACTGTCCCACTGACCCAAAGTCCAGATCCTCTGCCGCCCTGATGGTCATCACAACCCACAGCTCTGATGTATGTAACGGACACACCGAGGGTCAGCAGCTCGTTGGTGCAGGTTACTCGGGGCGACAGCCTGCAGAGCCGTGCAACAGAGCTGAGCTCTGATTGGCTGTGAGGGCAGAAGTGAACAGGACGTCCCAACCTAGTTTCCACTCTTTAAATGTGTGTGGAGGATACGCAGTGTTCCTGCTCGCCTTTGTGTGAGCGTTTTCTGGGTACTAATGTGTGTGTGTGTGTGTGTGTGTGTGTGTGTGTGTGTGTGTGTGTGTGTGTGTGTGTGTGTGTGTGCACAGAAAGGCTTTTCTCTGTGTGTTGCAGTGAGATGTCCCCATTCAACCCGAACACAGTCTGGGGGCCAACTGGGTTATGTAAAGCCTGCTGCTCTGTTGGCCTCACCAGCCACAAGCCTGAAATCTCTCTGCTCTGACCGTGCATGTGAGCGTGCATGTGAGCGTGCATGTGTAAGTTGCTGTTGGGGAGGACAGAGACCAATTTTAAAAAAAGGAAACGAATGTTTTCTTTGGCAGGAATAAAAATAGCGTCACAATGTTCCTGCTGAAAGTGGATAACATGTTAAATTTAGAACTGATTCTTTATTTCTCTGCAGCAGAAAATGAAACGACTTTCAACGATAAGGAAACAAGTCCAGATAATAAAATCCAACTCGAGCTGCAGACCTGTTGGTTTGATTCAAGGTCCTTCATGTCCAATAAGATGCTAGCTTAGCATCAGGTTAGCGTCGGATGCTACGTCTAACCCGGTCCTGTTTGGACCAGCCGGTCCTGTTTGGACCCGGAGGTCCTGTTTGGACCCGGAGGTCAGCCGGGCTTCGCAGCTGAAGCCTGAACAGGTCAAAGGAAGTTGGACTCTGATGGGTTGGCGGTTTGGCGCCACATGGAGCGGGTTGGCAGCCATACCATAGCAACCATGACTCAGCAGATTCTTCTTTCACTTGTTGATCCTTCATACGGCTGCCGGGTTTTAAAGCTCTGAACTCTGACTTCCTGTTGGATTTGAAACTCCATCGGCTTTTGTAGTCAGAATAATCGTCCAGGTTCATAAATCCTCCGGATGTTTCTGGATCAGAACCATTCGCAGCTTCGATGTGACATAGAAACTGTTTGAGCCCCACATTCGTTGTGTTTACACCTGTTGGAGCTGAACCACTTTAACACCATGGATTAAAGAAGCTTATGTGTAATAAAGACCTTAGAACAAAGTCCTGCGTTGCTCCAGATCAATCTCTGCATAAACCAATCAGAATAATTCTTACTGGCTTTACCTTCTCCTTCGTTATGATGTCACAACTCATTAAACTCAATCAGTTAGTTGCTGTGGAAACAGTGGACGGGATTATGAAGTGTTTGCCTTGGTTTTAATCCAGAGTCCCCACACACACACACAGACACACACACACACACACACACACACACAGACACGGTTTCATATGAAATGATATCAGTTTTCAGGGGATTAAAGGGTCGTCAGGTTCTTCCTCTGGTGGGGCTGCAGAATATTTCCTGCATTTTTCTCATTATGAATCTTAATTTCTCAAAAAAAACAAACAATGCTGCAATTTCCACCAATTGAAGATAAAGGAGTTATCCTTGATTTTTTTTACTTCATTTTTACCTGAGATGCTTAAATTTCCTGGAGAAAAACTGAAACACGTTTCCAGGTTCAGCAGCAATTTAATATTTCACAAGTAATAATTTAGTTAATCTGTTATAAATGTAACAAATGTAATAATTATTACAGAATGAACTGCTGGATAAAATCATGACATCTGCAGACAGGAGAATCAGAAAGTTACTGAGTGGATTCAGGTTTCTGGCTCAGCTTCTGGACCCAGTTCTGACCCGGTTCTGGACTCTGATCCCAGTTCTGACCCGGTTCTGGACTCTGATCCCAGTTCTGACCTGGTTGTGACCCGGTTCTGGACTCTGATCCCAGTTCTGACCCGGTTCTGACCCGGTTCTGGACTCTGATCCCAGTTCTGACCTGGTTGTGACCCGGTTCTGGACTCTGATCCCAGTTCTGACCCGGTTCTGACCCGGTTCTGGACTCTGATCCCAGTTCTGACCCGGTTCTGACCCGGTTCTGGACTCTGATCCCAGTTCTGACCCGGTTCTGACCCGGTTCTGGACTCTGATCCCAGTTCTGACCCGGTTCTGACCCGGTCTCAGGAACATTCTCTCCTGATTCCCAGAGCCGCCTCCGTTACTCCAGAGCTGCTGGAAACCAGTTGGATTGTGGGAAAATCTGGACTGTGGATGGGTTTGTCCCGGTGTTCCCGGCGCCGTCGGGCCGCAGGCAGCAGCAGGACGCCGTGTTTGGACATTAATGATGTGCTGACATCCACGCCGCTGTTGTTTCTAAACATCTAATCACAAGCTCCTCATGGCGCGCGTGGCGGTGACAACTCTCCACGGCGCCCGCAGCGCCGGCTTGTGACACGTCGGATATTCAATCTGACACTCGGATGATCCGCCTGCAGAGGATTTCATTGACCCGTTAATCTGTTCCTGGAACACCGGGCCGGCGCCGTTTGGGTTTCTGGCTGCAGAAATTCTGATGTTATGTTTGGGCTAAAATTGATTCTTGATGTAATTATTAGTAAGATCCTGTCTGAAGATGTTTCTAACCACAAAGTCACTGCAGAGATGATTAAAGTCAGAATCTGTTAAAAGTTTGATCATCCAGTCTGAGACCCGGGAGCCACTGCAGGTTCTGGACCGTGTGGCCCAGTTCTGGCTGGTTCTGGGTGAGGGAAACCTGGACCTCTTGGCGCCGTGTGGCCCAGTTCTGGTTGGTTCTGGGTGAGGGGAACTTGGACCTCCTGGCGCCTTGTGGCCCAGTTCTGGTTGGTTCTGGGTGAGGGGAACCTGGACCTCATGGCGCCGTGTGGCCCAGTTCTGGTTGGTTCTGGATGAACCTGGAGGTCCACAGGTGATGCGTCTGCAGTGACTGTTGATCTGTTGTGGTGAAATCAGAGCCAAAGGTGAAGATTTACCGATCAATCGATCCTGAACTGAAGTTCAGTTTCATTATGACTTTCACTTCATTTCATGGATGAAAGTTTCACCTTTTCCTCACTGAAGGCTTTTGTTGTCCTTATGGTTCTGCTGCGGAGCAGCAGAACCGTTTGGTTCTGATCGGGTTTCCTGCTCATGGTCTCTGATGGTTGGTGTGTCTGGAGTTACTGATCATTAAATCTTGCCCGTTGTTCTCTGTTCATCTGAAATGCTTTGTTTAAAAATGATTCAGATTCACGTTTAATGATCGACTTTGACCGACTGCAGTATTGGACCAGAACCGGGCTAAAGAAACCGATATGTTGAAGGAACAGGATGAGATGATTAACATCTTGTGGATGTTTGGTTTGTTCGTGTCCTGATCTGTAGCCGTAAGCCCAGACCATCACTCCTCCACCTCCGTGTTGGAATCGTGTTCTGGGCCTCATTCGGGTCATCGGTGGTGAGACCGGTTGGGTTCTGATGAGGAGCGGCCGGTTCCCATTAGACGCCCATCAGTCACTTCTTTCTGATTGACTCGACCCGACACCGCCATCGCTCCGCTGCTAAAAGCGTCCTGCGGACGCCGCCGCCGCATGGGGACGTCCTCCCACGCCTCGTCTTCATGTGTCACATTGCATCAGAACCCGAGTCCTGCCGAAGTGCCCTTCAGCCTGATCCCAAACCGGATCCGCAGAAATCCTCAACCTTTCTTCTCCCACCTGAATGGAAGCGTTGGAAATGTTTCATCCGTTTGTTTTTAGGATTTATTTCTGCTGAAATGTTCAGAACTGTGTTGTTTCTTTGTGAGGTTCAAACTGGGCCAGTTTGATCTGGTCAAACCTTCTGACTCCATTTAGCTCCCATAGAAACCCAGCAGGATCTGGGTGCGCTCGAGGTTTTCACATAAAACGAGATGAGAGATCCCGAAGATCCGATCAGCCCAGGAGCTGCTGCCAGGTTTCTGAGAACTTTTGACCAAAGTTCTGGGAAGTTCTGACACAGATGTTGAGAAGCTTTGTGAATCAATCAGATGATCAGGTGATCAGATGATCAGGTGATCAGATGATCAGGTGATCAGATGATCAGGTTTCTGATGCCAGTTAAAGCCTGAATGTTTTCAGCCACAGTGAAATAAAATCCTCTGTTTTTCTCTTTTGGTTTGGAGATTCATAATTTTTTTACTATCATCTGTTTTGCTTTGGGAAACTGGATCAGATGGTTCTGTTCTGGTTTTAGAAGCAAAACAATTAGACGCCCATCAGTCACTTTCATTGTGTTTGTGAAACTTCTGAATAAATAGAAAAATGTCCCAGAAACTTTCCAACAGAACAATTGAAAAGCCAACAGAAAGTTTAGCGACTGAAACTTGTTTTCAGATGCAGGATGTTTCTGGATGTTCTGCTGCTCTGCTGATCGGATCCTGTCTCTCATCCCGTCTCTCATCCCGTCTCTCATCCCGTCTCTCATCCCATCTCTCATCCCGTCACTCATCCCATCTCTCATCCCATCTCTCATCTCGTCTCTTATCCCGTCTCTCATCTCGTCTCTCATCCCGTCTCATCCCATCTCTCATCTCGTCTCTCATCCCGTCTCTCATCCCGTCTCTCATCTCATCTCGTCTCTCATCCCGTCTCTCATCTTGTCTCTCATCCCGTTTCTCATCCTGTCTCTCATCTCGTCTCTCATCCCATCTCTCATCTCGTCTCTCATCCCGTCTCTCATCTCGTCTCTCATCCCGTCTCTCATCTCGTCTCTCATCTCGTCTCTCATCCCGTTTCTCATCCCCTCTCTCATCCCATCTCTCATCCCGTTTCTCATCCTGTCTCTCATCTCGTCTCTCATCCCGTCTCTCATCTCGTCTCTCATCTCGTCTCTCATCCCGTTTCTCATCCTGTCTCTCATCCCGTCTCTCATCTCGTCTCTCATCCCGTCTCTCATCTCGTTTCGCATCCCCTCTCTCATCCCGTTTCTCATCCTGTCTCTCATCTCGTCTCTCATCCCATCTCTCATCTCGTCTCTCATCCCGTCTCTCATCTCGTTTCGAATCCCCTCTCTCATCCCGTTTCTCATCCTGTCTCTCATCTCGTCTCTCATCCCGTCTCTCATCTCGTCTCTCATCCCGTCTCTCATCTCGTCTCTCATCCCGTTTCTCATCCTGTCTCTCATCTCGTCTCTCATCCCATCTCTCATCTCGTCTCTCATCTCGTCTCTCATCCCGTTTCTCATCCCGTCTCTCATCCTGTCTCTCATCTCGTCTCTCATCCCGTCTCATCTCATCTCTCATCCCATCTCTCATCTCGTCTCTCGTCCCGTCTCTCATCTCGTCTCTCATCCTGTCTCTCATCCCGTCTCTCATCTCGTCTCTCATCCCGTTTCTCATCCTGTCTCTCATCCCGTCTCTCATCTCGTTTCGCATCCCCTCTCTCATCCCGTTTCTCATCCTGTCTCTCATCTCGTCTCTCATCCTGTCTCTCATCTCGTCTCTCATCCCGTCTCTCATCTCGTCTCTCATCCCGTCTCTCATCTCGTCTCTCATCCCGTCTCTCATCCCGTCTCTCATCCCGTCTCTCATCTCGTCTCTCATCCCATCTCTCATCTCGTCTCTCATCCCGTCTCTCATCTCGTCTCTCATCCCGTCTCTCATCCCGTTTCTCATCCCGTCTCTCATCTCATCTCGTCTCTCATCCCGTCTCTCATCCCATCTCTCGTCTCTCATCTCGTCTCTCATCTCGTCTCTCATCCCATCTCTCATCCCGTCTCTCATCTCGTCTCTCATCCCGTTTCTGTTCTTCCTCTGGTTCCAGTCTGTGCGGCATCGTTCCGGGCCTCAGCAGCGTCCTGCTTCCTCGGATGAACCCGTTTGTCCTGATCAACCTGGCCGGAGCCGCGTCCCTCTGCGTCACCTACATGCTGATAGAAATCAAGTAAGTGCTCAGAGTCCAGCGTCCCGCTGGGTCCCGCTCCGTCTCACGCCGTCCTCCTCTCTCTGTCCAGTAACTACAACGCGGTGGACACGGCGTCAGCCGTCGCCATCGCCCTCATGACCTTTGGCACCATGTATCCCATGAGCGTCTACAGCGGCAAGGTTCTGCTGCAGGTCAGAAACGGCGCGGCTCACGGTTAGCCTCCGTGTTGCTGTCGGATGTCTCACTGCTGTCTCCTGTCTCTGTCTCAGACCACGCCGTCCCACGTCATCGGCCAGCTGGACAAGCTCCTCAGAGAGGTCAGAGGTCATGTCTGGATTCACTGCGATGTTCCTGTGAAGCACACATGAACACACAGCCTGGTTCCTTTTATTAAACCTTCATCTGAAGAAGTTTCCTCCTGTAATAAATCATCAGATTAACAAACTCTGAGCAGGAAGACATCATGGATTCAACCCTTCACTCACAGATGCAGGATTTTTAAATTAAATATTTAGTTTAATTTAATTTAGTTTGGTTTGGAGGCGATGGACCAGTTCAAACATTTGTTAGTGTTGGAATCATTAAAATCGAGTCGTTGCATCGTCACAGCTGCAGGTTTTAAAGGTTCATGGATCCGAAACGTTCAGATCCAACCATTTATCCAGGTGATTATGATATGATCATAATCATTGATAGTGATGATATGTTCATAATCATTGTTAGTGATGATATGATGAGAATCATTGATAGTGATGATATGATGAGAATCATTGATAGTGATGATATGATGAGAATCATTGATAGTGATGATATGATGAGAATCATTGATAGTGATGATATGATGAGAATCATTGATAGTGATGATATGATGAGAATCATTGATAGTGATGATATGATGAGAATCATTGATAGTGATGATATGTTCATAATCATTGTTAGTGATGATATGATGAGAATCATTGATAGTGATGATATGATGAGAATCATTGATAGTGATGATATGATGAGAATCATTGATAGTGATGATATGATCATAATCATTGTTAGTGATGATATGATGAGAATCATTGATAGTGATGATATGATGAGAATCATTGATAGTGATGATATGATGAGAATCATTGATAGTGATGATATGATCATAATCATTGATAGTGATGATATGATCATAATCATTGATAGTGATGATATGATGAGAATCATTGATAGTGATGATATGATGAGAATCATTGATAGTGATGATATGATCATAATCATTGATAGTGATGATATGATGAGAATCATTGATAGTGATATGATCATAATCATTGATAGTGATGATATGATCATAATCATTGATAGTGATGATATGATGAGAATCATTGATAGTGATGATATGATCATAATCATTGATAGTGATGATATGATCATAATCATTGATAGTGATGATATCATCATAATCATTGATAGTGATGATATGATCATAATCATTGATAGTGATGATATCATCATAATCATTGATAGTGATGATATGATCATAATCATTGATAGTGATGATATTGAAGAAATGAGAGATGTTTAGGATTTTGAGACAAATTTATCAGAATCAGAACTCATAGCCAAAGAATGAACATGTCTTATTGAAAGGGTCAAAGGTCATATCCAGACTACCTGAAGAAAGTTTAGAGCAGAAGCTCAGAGTCCCAGCACCTCAACCCCAACAGGCCTCAGGGTCAAAGGTCAATGCATGGCAAACAAGATTCATGTTTGGAGGAAAATAACACCAGTGGCATTATTTCTCTGTTTCATCCCATAATCCTTTGCTGCAGTCACATGACCGACTCCCTCCACAAACAGCAGCAGGATGGAAACAAACATCAGTTATTAATATCAGCCTGGTTTTATTATTAGAGTCCATGTTGGTCCTGATTTATCCTGGAAACTAAGAATGGAAGCTTTTCTTTCCTTTGTGACTTTCCACCAGGATTTGTCCTAATCTGGGATAAATCACAGCTGGATTGGTTTATTATTCACATAAAAATGTGCAGATATTCATGCAGCAGCAGGTAAAAGCAACGAATCACATGATCAATTAAACTCAATCATTTCCATTTATGGCTTTTCTCTTTCTAGGAAAACTGAATGATGAAAGTTTTTCCTTTTGTTCTTTTTGAAGGACGATTTTGTTTTCAGGACCTTCATAATTCATTTTATTTGTTGTTTCTTTATTTTGGATACTTAAAATGCCTCCCAGCTCATTGTGATGTAAAGTTTATTGATCTTTGATCCAGTGAACTGTCGGCACAGAGGCTCAGATTGGTTCTGTTTTGTCCAATCAGGTGTCGACGCTGGACGGCGTCCTGGAGGTCCGGAACGAGCATTTCTGGACCGTTGGGTTTGGGTCTCTGGTAGGTGCCTGCTGATTGGACGGCTGGCGGGTCGGGCCGGGGAAACACGGAGACAAAAGGTCCGATTACTCAGCAGAACCGCTCAGCTGGAGCCCGTTTCAGCTCGGCTTCTCATGACATCATTCAACTGTTCCTCCAAAGCAGACTCTCATTTTATCATCTGAACTCATAAAAGTTCTTTGTTGTTTTTAAGAACATTTTACTGGAGAAGAACTGGGCGGCCATGATGGTTCTATGAACAAGATGCTGCTGGTGCAGAAGATATCTTTAGTTTAAGAAAATATTTTCATTCTTTCATCAAACTTTATTTTTTCTTTTAAAACCTGAAAGTAGAAATGACAAAAAAATCATAAAATAACCTGTGAGTTCACAGACTCTAAACTCTGTAAAATAAACAAAATAGATAAAGAATTTAAAACAGGTGAAATAATCCACAGCTAATGGATTTAATAAACACCAAAAGCGATTTGGAGCAAACTTTAAGAATTAAACAGGCCTAACGTTATTTTAAGTTAATTCATTGTTAATGTGCATCAAGCTGACTGTGATTTAAAACCCTCCAGATCCCCAGCAGTCAGACTCCATGTCTGGGTTTATTCATTCAGGCCAAATTTCTGATTATTGCTGCATTATAACAGAAAAATGATAATATGAAGGAAAGTTGTTGTTGTAGTTACATTGAAAACAGAAGCAGCAGTGATGATTAATGAACTAGGATAGAATCAGGTAACAGTGAATGGTCTCAGTCCAGGCTGTGAGCTGCAGTCCCCCTGCCGGCCTGCAGGGGGCGCAGTGTTTACCTTTGTTTACCCTCTGATGGTTTTTGGAGCGGCCGTTGCCCCGCGGTGCTGCTTGTTGTCGTGTGTGGATGGTTCTGTTGGCCCGGCGCTAACGGAGCAGCTGTCCAAACCCATTTGACCCCCCTGACTGCACTCCAGCCCCGGGGGTCGCTCGCCCGCCCTCTCTCTCTCTCTGCGTCTCGTCCCCAAGAGGAGAGCGAAGCCGGGTCACTCCGGCGTTTACTGTTCGGATGCAGAACGTCGATGTTCTCTTCGGACCCAAGTGTTGGCGCTGTTGGGTTGTCATGGAAACGAGCCGTTTCCTGGCCCGCCGGCTCAGTTCCGGTCCGATGCCTCTGACCTCTGACCCTCTCTGTGCTCAGGCTGGCTCCGCCCACGTCCGGATCCGGCGGGACGCCAACGAGCAGCTGGTTCTGGCTCACGTCACCAACCGGCTGCTGCCGCTCGTCGCCACGCTGACCGTCCAGATCTTCAAGGACGACTGGACCCGCCCCCTGCTGAGCGGCGTGCTGTCCTCCCCGGCCGCCGCGCCGCCGCCGGCCCCCGAAGGCTACGCCGCCTCCTTCCCTCCGGTTCCGTACGGCTCAGCGGGAGCCCAGGAGTTCGACCCGCTGACCTCCACCCCCTCCAAGCCCAGCAGCCCCCCGCCGGAGTTCTCCTTCGACACGCCGGGCCGGAACGTGGCGCCGCTGGTGCTGCCCGGCCCGGGCCAGCACGCCCACCGGCCCTACGGAGGCCTGGGACTTTCCTACGGGGCGCCGCCGTACGCCGGGATGCTGGCGGCGCCGGGCCTGGGCGCCGGTTCGGACTCCCCTCCTCCCACAGCTACAGGACTGCCTTTGTGGGCTCAACGCCGCCGCTCCGGTTTGGAACCAGCAACCCTTCTGCGCCTCAGTCCCAGTTCAGACACTACCAGCCCTGACCGAATCGCATCCAGACACGAGTCTGGAGGAACATTCAGGATTATTTATTGGAAACAGCAGCTCCACTGGGAGCAAACCAGTCTGGCTGTGGCGGTTCAAGCATCAGAGAAATGCTTACATGGAAATAAAACTGTTTTATTTTGAAGGGGTTGATGACCTCACCATGTGGATTTAATCCTGATGAAGATCCTGGAAGGAAACCAGAAATGAAATGAGAGGAAACTCATTTCACTAACGTAACAATCCACCAAAGTCCTTTAAATCTCAATTTAATAAGAATTAATGTTGCAAATCGGAACATTTCTCAACTGAAACAGAACAAAATGAAATGTTTTAATAAATATTTGGTTAATTTTGTACAAAAAACCCCATTTTAACTCATTGATCCCATTTTGCAATAGTAAATATAAAACTATTGTTGCAATAATCTGTGGATGTATTTTTCTTCTATTGTTTGGTTTTGACAGATGATTTCATCTGAAACTATTAAACAGTTAAATGCTGATTGAAAACAAACCCTGAACGTTTGATGGTTTAACTGGTTCACTTGCAGAGGATGAGGATGAGGAAGACGTCAGGTGATGATGTCATTGTCCAGGAACTGAACGGCCACCAGAGGGCAGTAGTGAGTCATCAGGAAGTAACTGAATCATCCAACAGTGAAAATGTCCTCAGACTGTCTAGATTTACATCTCTGCAGCTTTAATTCATCGTGTTGGTTGTTTATGTTCATTAATCTTCACTTTCCCATGAATAACAAAATGAAATGTTTCCTTTAAAACCTCAACATTTTTTCTCCCTCAGTGCATTAACATGGTGGATCTTAAATACTTAAAATATGATGAGGTTCAGGACCGAATGATCCAGAACCAAAACATTACAGTTTACGAAAAATAATAAAATGACATAAACTACAATTGAGGAAACATTTCTGTTAAGCGAAATAAATGGAAACAGTAATTAATAGAGAAAATGTGTCACTGGGACAATATGGTGTTATAAAAATGAATCTGAATCCATTAACCTTTAAATGGGAACCAGAGCAGCTGCTGTTCAATCAGTAGGAAAATCATCTCAATGTTCTGAATCCAAAAACCAACTTTCCACTGAAACTCATTCAAACTAAACAATATTTGACTAATAAATACAAGCAAACGCTATAAAAATTTAAAAAGTCAAACATCAAACTAAAACCCAAAGCTATCAGAACCGGATCAGAACCATCCAGTTCTGGCTCAGTGACACTGACCCGGCTGCCAAGCGGCGCCGACACAAAGCCTGCGACCCGCCGGGTCGTCACGATCTGGAACCGAACCGCCGACGCCCAGAAACCATTCAGGATGGTTCCTGACCCGGTTCCTGACCCGGTTTATGACCCAGTTTATGACCCGGTTTATGACCTGGTTCGTGACCCGGTTTATGACCCGGTTCCTGACCCGGTTTATGACCCAGTTTATGACCCAGTTTATGACCCGGTTTATGACCCGGTTTATGACCCGGTTCCTGACCCAATTTATGACCCGGTTTCCTGACCCGATTTATGACCCGATTTATGACCCGGTTCCTGACCCAATTTATGACCCGGTTCCTGACCTGGTTCATGACCCGGTTCCTGACCCGGTGTCTGCCAGGCAAACTGGTTCCTGAAAACCGTTTAATGGGAACCATTTTCCTAATGGGTCACTGGGTTCTGCTGAACTGGTCCGACTGGAGGAAAATCTGTTTCTTAAAGCAGAACCACACGAATTTAAGTTTCACCAACAATCAGTTTCCATGAACATCCAGAACCACCCGATTCAGCAGAACGACCCGATTCAGCAGAACGACCCGATTCAGCAGAACGACCCGATTCAGCAGAACGACCCGATTCAACAGAACGACCCGATTCAGCAGAACGACCCGATTCAACAGAACGACCCGATTCAACAGAACGACCCGATTCAGGTCCCACTCTGAGACACTCGGCACCATCTCTGAGCCGTTTAAATGTCCATTTGAAGAATTTCATTTTCCTCTCCAACAGGATAATCTGTTGAGGCTTTCTGAGGAGATTCTGAGATTTGGCAGCAAATACGCAACTACGCCCCGGCAGCAGCGTAGTTGCCCCGGCAGCAGCGTAGTTGCCCCGGCAGCAGCTCTGAGTCGGTTCTGTTTGGTTCTGGATCTCGGAGCGGCGCCGTTCACATCAGGCCTGAGTCACAACATTTTTACCAAACTAGGAGAAGCTTCAGTAAAAGAACCCGACCGACATCCGAACAGAATTTTCAGCTGCTGGCCGACGACCTGAGGTCAGAGGTCAGACGTTTTCATGAACTTATCAAATGTAAAGCAGGACAATAAAGTTAAACATGCTGTGGAAATAAATGAGTTTATGTGAAAATTCAGACGATGCTTCGATTAAAGCATCATCAATAATTTTACATTATTGACATCAGAAAAGAGATTTTTATGGTTCTGGTTCTAGTTTTCTCCCTGCTGCACAACTTCTTCAAATTCAAGGAAAATTGGTACATAAAATTAATTTCAAACAAACATGGTTTGCATTAATGACCATCACATTAAAAACAGTAACAAGATGTCAATAGAATCAATAGTTACAATTTAAAAAAGTAGAAAACATACAAACAAAAACTAAATTACATAAAAGAAAATAGTCAGAGGTTTTAGGAACTATTTTAAATCATTAGAAAGAAATATGTTGCTGTTTTTATTAATTAAATTTGAGGGATTCAATCAGATTTTAGTTCAGACAGAAAGTCAGTATTATTATTATTATTATTATTATTATTATTATTATTACTATTATTATTGTTATTATTATTATTATTATTATTATTATTATTATTATTATTATTATCTGTTTGTTCATTGAGATGAAAAGTTTTACATTTATAATAATTAACATGTTCAAAAGTTCTATTTTCAGTCGCTGTTTTAAAGAATCACTGATGTTTGTATATTTAGCAATAAAACGATTAATTTTGACAGAACATTAAAATAGTTCATAATGACGTCACATCCCCCATATCCGGCGCGCTGTCGCCATTTTTTCCCTCTTTCCAATTAACTTCCGCCATCTTGAGAGAAGGCAGCAGCTTCCACTCGCTGAAGAACCGCGATGGTTGGATGTTGCTGGATGTTGTTGGATGTTTGTAAAACCAGTTTAGAAAAGTTTCCATTATTTCCGCTGGAGGAGGGAAACGTTTCTGATGATTTTCATTGGAGGTAAATATATTTTATGTTTCTATTAATAAATTGTGAGTTAATCTTTGTTTTCACCAGATTATGATAAAAATGGATTTTGTTCCTGAAGCTGCAGCTTCAAATCCATGAACTACAACATTTAGATGAAAATACAACAAAATCTAAATTAGTCTCAGAGTCCTGAATGAGGCCTTGGTTTTGTCATTAGTGGTGATTATGATGATGGATTATGATGATGGATTATGATGATGGTTTTGCAGTAAATTGAGCCTTTCTGTTTTCTTTGTGTTTTCTGATCTCATCCTCAGAGTCTCAGAAAACACAAATGGACTATTTTTATGAGACGTTCTGCTCGTCTGATCTGGTTCTGGTTCTGGATTGCTGCTCCTGTGTGAACATGTTTACCAGAAACTGCTCCAGAAGCAGGAAGTGGACTACAGTGCAATGCATTTTGGGTAAATATAACCAGAACAAATGCGCTAGCCGAGCGCTGGCGGGAGAAATGGCTCTTCAGCCAAAGCTAAAGAGAGATCTGACACCACTGACTCCATGATTGTCTCAAGGTCACCTTCACGTCCTGCAGGACGCTGACTTTGGTTCTGTGTCTGTGATGAAATGATGGGCCGGTTCCAGTTGGGGGATTGATGACCTGAGGATGCGTCGGTCGGGTGGACTGTATCAAATGGCGTCACCTCTGCAGGAACCAGCGGCGCTAAAACAGTGAAATTGCCGCGTTAATCTCCAGAGTGTGTTGTGTAACACTGGCAGGGAACGCTGCGTTCACACAGGCCGGATCACTGCATCTGTTTTACTGCGACCTGCAGATTAAATCAGACCTCACACTTCAAATAAAGACTAATCCTCCACAAAACACACACAAACACACACTGCTGCAGCATTAAAGGCAGCATCCTAATCCAGCGACCTGAAATAGCATCGAGGAGGAAATCATGGAGGACGCTGCGTCCGTCCTTCATGCACAAAACCTCACCGAGCTTCTAGTGACCTATAGGAGGAAGGATTGGGATGATGGAAAATGGAGATTATTCAGAAGACGAGAGATTTGTGTTTGCATCTCCAGCCGCTTGTCTTCTCTTGAGCTGAGCAGTTTCAGGAACCATCGAATCTGGACAGCCGTGATCTCAGACCCGACTGAGCCCACTGGACCAGAACCTTCGTCCAGCTTTATATTTGACTTACCTTCACACATTTTACAGATGAAACAAAGAATCCAGATGTTACTGGACATGTTGTCCTCTTTTCTTTCAACCTCACAGATCTGTCGTTCAAAGGAAATTTTGCTT